GTGTGTGTGTGTGTGTGTGTGTGTGTGTGTGTGTGTGTGTGTAATTTGTAAAATTAATAAAAGTTTTGCGCCAATATCTTGAAATTATTTCAGTAAATTTCATTTACGATCGTAGGACTCGCGGAGCGTGAGATAAGATTCAAGGTGAACGATCCCGAGGTGCAGCGGCAGGCGCGAATGAAAAGACTGCAGCGCGTCATAGAGAGAATAGATATGGGTTACCTGACGATCGATAAGGATTTCCTCGAGGAGATCGTGAGCCGCCCGGAGATCGTGGCCTCGCCGAGCAAGAAGTCGGTTACCGAGCTGCTCGCCCTCGCGAGTACGTGCTATCGCAACGCGACGTACTTGCAGGAACTTCTGCGTATGAGACGGCCGCTCTACGTTATCCTGTTCAAACGACGTGAGATTCCGAGGGGGCGCAAAATGATGATGGAGCGAGAACGAAAATTGCGCAGAAACATCGTCGTTATAAAGGCGGATTTTCTCCTGCGTCGCTTGCAAGCCGCGAGGATCAACAGGGACTATGCTACTTTCTTCAAGTTGGTAGCAGTCTCGAAACTTGCCCCGAGCGAGTATACGCCACGAATATGCTGCAATATATTCATTCCTTTCAAAATATTCGAGGAACATTCGAGTATTGGTTGTAAAACGCTAAAGAGCACATACGGCGGTACATTCGTGGTGAAATTTGTAAAATTTTTCAATTTAAAAATTTATGAAATTCCGCTCCAATCCTTTCGTTAGGCTTGTTGATCTTATCAAGACCAGATTCGACTCGTATTCGGATAAGATGTTTCCGTTGAAACAAAAGTGTCTAAATGCGCTGTACAAAACGGTAGCGCAGGTTTACATCGACACGCGTAATTTGACGTGTCTGGACAGTGAGGAAATGAAGACGAGATATGTGAAGCATCTCCTAGGAATACGAGTTGCAACGCTGCCTCGAGACAGAGATATCGCGTGGATGCCGACTGTAAACCCAAAGGAGACGTTGAAGATGTTTCGTAGGTATAATTCATTCATAAATAGATTTCGAGGCGGAATATGCGAGATCTCGTAAATTCCCCCGTCTCTTTTACGCGCAAATGGGATTCATATTTCATTTCCGTGCTCTTAAAATTTTTAGCATTGTCAAATTTTCGTTTATATATTTCGTTCATTATTGGCCGTTTTATATCTCGTTCACGTTTTTATTCTGTTCACATTTTGACAAGTTTGCTCTTTCGGCTAACGGCCTCTTCTGTTTTCCGTTGATTTTTTTGTTGATTATTTATTTAACTATAAAGCTGCATAATTTATACG